AAAAAAAATTCCCAAAAATATAAATTATACATCAAATGAAAGCTTATTCTATAAGCTTTCTTTGTTTTTGAAACATTTTTCTGTATAATTTACAGAAAGTTCCCAAAAATCCACCAGAATGACATATACTCAAAAAATGCAAAAAACCTTGTTACACTGCAAAAGAATCCGGTATTCAAGGGTTTGCACTACAAAAGAATCCGGTATCCAGAGGGTTAACATGCTTGCTTACAAAAACCACCATTTTAACATGTTTTTTGGTCATAAATGCATTCCCTATGTCAACTTGCATGATCTTAGAGGGGATTGGATTGAAAACTGAAAGATCATAGTCATTTTCTTCAAGGAATAATACAAACAGCCTTATCCCTAATATTGATGCAATGAATAACTGTTCATTTACACCAAGCCTCGGAAATAAACTTCTTGGGATTAAGATTATTACTGGACAAAGTAAGAAATAAGGAATGCACGGATGGGTATAATACTGTATGCAGTAGAGATGTACAATATATAAAAGGCTCAGTACACATGCTTGGCCAAGAGACGACACTACAGTAAATCAGGGAGGATACCTCCCTGAGTAGATCATTAAGAATTTTTATAGAAAAAATACATTTGTATTGTACTGCACCTTGATTTACATCATGTCAATATACTACAAGCTTATTCAGAACCAAATTTTATAGAATTATATGTTAATTATATAATTACTTTTATACGGTAAATGTGTGAATATTATAAATATTATAAATATTTAATTGTAAATATCACTGACTTTCATAAACACTGACACACTGAATTTAACAAGTTAACAATCATATATTTTTGGATGAGATTAAAGTTTAATCCTCATCTAGAGGTAAATTCTTTACTTCATCAGGGTCATAACACAGGGTGAATTAAATTTCTACAGGGGCAATGAACTCATTTAACTATGCCCTTGTGATCAATAGATTCAGAGAAAAAACCTTGTCCATGAATAAAGAAAGAAATCAATCAAATTTGCAAAAGTGTTTTACTAATTTAACTAATTTTCTTTAAATTTCAGCACAATTTAGTTCAATTTGTACCTTTCTCTTAGATGATTTCTAAAGTTCATATCATATAACATCGGATAACATTTCATAAATTATCTTGCGTCTCCAAAGACCGTATTTTTAGTCTGGACTTAATCTTGTTGAGTGACAATTACCTCTAGAGACAATTAACAAGCTAAGTTAGCTGATAGGAAAGTGCTAAGCCTTTACCTTAATTGGTCATGATAAATATGATAGTTACATAAGTAGGCCAAGCTGATTTAAGATGTTAGAACCAGTAGAACAACATCTCATTATGCACTACAGTACCTGATGAGGTGAGATGTAATTTTAAATAATTCTACAATTGTAGTAAATAAATAATACACAATTATGGTATACTGACCACACAAATACATAATTAAGCGGTATTCTACTGTTATGCTCATTACTGTCATACTTTAAATTGATAATTTAAAAATTAAAATTTTTTTTCATCAGGCCTCCCCTTAAGGGGAGGGAGATGTAATAGGTGTATACACACACTCCCCTAGTCGGAATTAAATTCACATCTTCAAATCAAAACAATCGAATGTGTACTAACACTGATATAATTTGTGTAATAAGGCCAAGTAAAAAAAAAAAGTAGTTTCTCGTCATAATACAGTAATTTGAAAAAAGGAGAATGAGGGCACTTTTTTTTCTCCGAGATGGCAAATCCAAGATGGCCGATGGGAAACAGCTACTACTTTCTCACTTTTAACAAGTAGACACATTGAAAGGAAATAAAAGAAGCACTAGACATGGTTCATACCATATGTATCCCCAACCACGAACGATTGAGAGAGGAATTTTACTGATGTGAGTTAGCAATATTTTAGTACATTTCGTAAAATAAAGGAAAAAAACAAAATTTGGTGAGGCAGAGAAAATGGATGCGCGAGGGAACAAGAAACTAGCATTTTTTTTAATTTGGCCTAAATAATACCACAAGGCCAGTAATTGGGCATTTAATTTGCCATAAAAAATGAAAAATCAAAGCTACGATCCAACGTGGCCAGCTCTTCTCCCTTGACCCAGCCAGGGATTCTGATATCCCCTAGTTTGGTCCATTTGGTAGGGGACTCCTATTTCCCCCATTCCCACCAGTCAGACTGTATAAATTCAAGCATTTAGCACATTCTCCTTAAAAATATTAGAATCTATATCACTGAATATTAGCTCTATTTGACATAATTAAATAATTAATGATACAGTAATACTAAGAAAACCATTCTTATCTCAATTGTCAGTTGAAACACACCCCTAGCTACGTCACTCCCGCCCACTCCAAGATGCAGCCTCAGCACACGCTTTTCTCATGTGCTATGGTAAAGTAAGTACAAACATACTCTACAAAGCTAACAAACGATTGAGGATAGAATTTATGGACACCATAATTTTTTTATATGCCTGCTTGATAGTCAAACTATTAGTTCAGTAGTGAATAACAAACCTGCAAATGTGTTATAAAAAATGTTTATATTGCAACTAGGGGACCGATAAATAAATCCCACATAAACACTAAAGGGAGGTCAATAAACTTATACAGAAAACAAGTGAAGTAAACTCAGATAATGATTTGTGTATGTCATGCACAATTTGATAAAGATAATATACAGTTCAAAATTGTACCACACACTTTTGTATATATCAGAATGGGAATTGTAAAACAGAAAACAAAGCTTGCTCATGAGCATTGAATAATAATCAAAGATAATAATTTAGAGGTTGACTGGTGAAAGTTATGAGTTATATGTATTTCTCTTGCTAATGAGAGCTGGTTCCCTATTTCCGCTGAGGGATGGAATGAAACTATTATTTTAATGCAGTGTCATACAAAAATTTAACATTTTATATTAATATGCAGATAAAATGATCGTTAGGAGTTATAGATCTTTAGTACCGGTATGTACAATATATCATTTTGATACACTTGCTTCTGGAAATTTTATAGGATTGGTGTTTTGCACCTGACCTATTATCGAACTGTATACTCAGTACATTCCCAAAAAATCTTGTAAGTGATTTGGTAGGGAACTGAACCCAAGACCTGCAGATAACTAGCCTGGTGTCACTACAACTAGACCACTATCTTACGCTGAGTAGCTAGTGTTGAGTCTGATCTCCATAGCAGCTGGTAATGAAAGATAGGAGTACTGTCGTTGGTCAATAAACTTATGAACGATCTCGTTCATAAGTATTCGTCATTATTATTAATTAGCACCAAAAATTTAGGAATGTTCTTTTATTTGGCATTATATTTAATTTGATATATAATAAATTAAACGTAAATAATGATAAGACTTACACATTTTCAGTAGCGCCTACGGGTTGATCGCCTTCATTAAATATAACACGATGTTCTGCTACTGAAAAACCAAAAAAACTATCAGCAGGACCAACCTTCACCATAGGTAATCGAACCTCCAAAAGTTCTAATCGATTCGCTGATGGACCGTCTGCCCACGTACAAAAGCAAAAACTTGTACAAATATAAATAGTCCTAAATATTGCACTGAGATGTCCCATGATGACTGACCGAAAGAATCAATTGTTAGCAAGCAAACTCATTTGTTGATAATTGTTACCGTTATTATCAAATCTCTGTGTTGACTATCTGTCAAAATTAACACTGCCACCAAAACCGCACAGTTTATCCAGCCTGTAATTTGGTCGCAGAGGCGCCTAGCAAATCACGATACACGGTCGAGTCCAGGCCTAGATTTGCGTGCACAACACGCTCCTAAATAGGCTAAAATAACAGCAATACAAAATCCGAAAGTAAATCAAATACTCTAATTCAATTAAACAATACGAAGAGCTTTTTTGTCTACAACGGCTTGTTCGAAAGAATTTATGCATCAGTGACTGACAACCTTAGCACGGCGTCGTGTCTCTGCCGCACGATTATGATCTGAAGTTTGTCCAGCACTGTTGTTACACACAAGTTCATTATAAAAGTAAAGCCGGAAGTTGTTCTATGAAGTATGATCTTATTTTCACAGATGAATGAGCTCAGAGCTACTTGCAGACACGCTGGGTGCACTGAGTGTAGTCTGTCCTTACAAAATTTATGAATTGCGCCCTCGATGTTTGAAAACTTTAATTCCATGTTTATAATGGTATATTAGAGTCTCACACGTTTATTATTAGCGAAACTTTAAACATAGGGGCATTCTTAATTTTAGAGGACAATGATTCTGAATCTAAAAATAATAACTTTATATTTTTTTTAAAGCCATTGCAACAAAAACTGGCATTGGTTTCCAGTGAATCATCATGCAATAAATAAATAACATCGAAAGCTGGTCTTAGAAACCGTCCTATTTCAACAGTATTTCTCACACTGATTTCATATTTTTCTGTTTAGTTATCATGTCTATCATTTCTATCTTTACTGGTTTCAGTAGCACCATTTTCACTTTATGCGAACATTTGCGTCTTAGACACCAACTATTTAATTAAATTTTAAAATGGGTTGTCAGAAACAGAATGCTTTAACAATTGTAATAAAATGTAGTTAGACCTTAATATGCCTCTTGATAAATTAGGCCTATTAATCAAATATTTAAATTTTTAATTTAAATTTTTAAAATGTTCTAAGCTAAATGCGTTACCAATTGTGATGAGATGTACAGTAGAGGCCAGTCTTACTGTTTGACCAATATTTCTTTACCAATTTTCCCAGTCATATTAAGCTTGCGCCAGACCATGGGTGGCCATACAGAAAAATTGAATAAGAAACTTAGAGCCAGTGGGAATATAAAAGTTTACTCTAGATTGTGTTTCTAAAGACTTTTTAGCAAACATGTTTGACATTTGCAAACAGGTAAGTTTATATTATGGCGTTTGGGCTTATACCTCTCAGTGTATAAAGGCACAGGGGACCGTGCCGAGTCTCCTGCAATTGAAAAATCCTATTATCGTCGTGTGGGTTGACATTTAGCGGAGTAACAAAATGATGTCGCGGAGTTTTAGTTGAAATGGATTCGGCGTCATCTAGACGTCTTCTTCAGCTGTCAAAATACTATTCGCTCATAATATAGATAGTAAACATCCATGCTCTTAAGAAATATTGAGTTGTCCTAGTTCGAGTGCTGTTAAGACCTTTGTACCGCGGGACATAGCCTACAGTCGATTGTTTAAGATGCTGATAAAATACTGTATTCCAAACAGTGAGTGTTGTACGGTAGATCATTTTATTTTGTTTTTTAAATGGAAGATTAAAAGTACTCTATTAGAATTTTAATGCTAAGCATACGTGGTGTAACCGAAATGCAGATGGATGGTTAAAGCGGTCCTTCCACGTGGCCTATTGGATGATTTTTATGTTTGTGTTTGCTTAAGTTTTTGAGTTATACAGAAATCAGCCATTATTATAGATCTGTTTCTCAAACTCTGAAGAACTTAATTTAATTTAAAAAATAACCAATAAAAACTCGTTTAAAGTGATCATAACACGGAACCAAACGAATCAGTTTTCACTCATAGAGGCCAATTTATTAACTAATTTAAGAATCATGCAAAGAACAGAAATAATATAATTTAAATGCGTTTAAAAATAAAATCACCTAATACAATACAAGGAAAATAAAAATACAGACTTTAAAGTAAGAGTTTTTAAAATGTCTGTTTTAATGATTAAAGATGTAAATTTGAAAGAGAAAAGTAAGGGTTTGTAAAGACAAGAATGTCTTATAATGCAAAAGTCCCTTCAATAGGATTTTCTTTCTTGTTCCAATAGTCATTGAGTTGAAAGCTAATAATTATTGAAATATATACACAAATTTCATTTTTTTTTTAATTGTGAAGTTTTATATTGTTTAATGGTTTGCATGACGAAGTAACAATATGTTGCTTGCGGTACACCACGTAGATAGTTCTGATAAAGAACTGTTATTTGTTGAGAATGTCTCGACATTTCGATTGAGTTGCTTCAATCGTCTTCAGGAGAATATCTGTTTTATATTAAGTTTTTATATTATTATTATTAATAATAATAATAATAATAATAATAATAATAATAATAATATAACGCATTTATATAGCGCCTATTAAAGCCAAAAAACAAACAAACACAAAAACAAAAACAAAACAAAAAAAATGTCACCGGCGCTGGAATGTTAGAGAAAAGTTGAACTGAGGAAGGATTTGAATTGAATAATTCAGGATCAGAGATGATACGCAATTGTGGGGGTAGTTTTCCAGAGATCAGGAAAAAAAAGAGCGTTCAGTGTCCAAATGTGCTAGATTCGTGGGGTAATTAGCAAGAACGAGTAGAACGTGAAGGAACATGTTTGATCAATAATGGAACACGATTATAATGGGGTATAACCATGGATGGATTTTTGAGTGCAAAGAATAGATTTTATGGCAGTGGGGTCTGAACTTTAACGATAATATAGTATCTGTAACAATATAATTTTGCCAATACAGTAAATTACCAGCCAATTTAAGTGTTTCTACTCAAAGAATATTATGAATGGTATATTAATAAGTGTTATTTGGCGAAGAAATAGTTTCTTGCTAATTTGTTAATCTAGGCTAAATTTCATGAATGAATCTTTTTATTGATAAAAACGTGACTGGGAAAAATGTTTATTACCGTTAAATGTTGTTATTGCATAATTATGCGTTTTTAAGGTAGTCAATCGAGCAATCATTTGATTAATCAACCAACTAAAAAAAGAATCAACACAGCATACAGCATTGTGTGACGTAATTCACATAGTATGTTGATTTATATTATTACTATTGGTATTGCTAGACGTTCATTATATCCACCATAATCATCATCATAGTCGTCGTCATATAGGTCGTACAGGTCTTAACAATGTTTTTCTATTGTAAGTAATGAAAAACTGGAATCCAATCAAAATAAAGACACACGGATACACAATTTATACAAAATTAATCTGTTTAATGCTCGGCCAAGCAAAACACAATACAAAAAGGACGTGAACTCTACATTTCACTGAAAGGTAAGGTATGTTATTAACGTACTTACACTATTTATCAACTCGGAAAAACACAATTAACTTTTCTGGCTTAAGTTACACTAACTCAGATGATACTGGCGTCGACTGGCAGCGAAAGCTCGTGCAAAAATAAATCAATAATAGATAGCAATAGACTAATTTAGTCTCAGAATCAGATAGTTGCTGTCTTTGATTTTTCTAGCACCATTACGAACAATTCTGACATAATGTTTTGTCTGTTTCTTTTACAGTTTATGTATCAGTGGTATATCTAGGCATATTTCCACAAACCCTATGAAATTGGAAGGTGGTGGAGTCAAGCACCTGATACAATAAGGTGATTAAGTGACATGCAAAATGATTTTTTACCACTTCAATAGCGGTCGGCACCTATAGCACCTGTGGGTGTGGGGGAATGGTACGCCCCTATTCCCTTTAGATATGCCACTGTATTTTCATACATGTACCTTTTTCATTTTATTGCAAATTAAATTTCATGAACTTTAAAGCAGAAATCCAAAATGAAATAATAGAATAAAAATATTTTCAATACATGGAAAATTATATTCTCCATTATAAGACACTCACTGTTACTGGCAGTGATCAGGAGGACAAAACGTGATAGACACAATACATTCTAATTGACAGCAAGCATATGCAAAGCAACCAATCACAGAGGGAGAAAGCTCAGGATTTAAGCATTTTCAGCACATAAGCTCGCATAATTTGTACATCATTAAACTGCACTCACAGCAAATATTATTCTTCAATTCGAACTTAACACTTTTTTTTATATTTTCTTATATTTCTATTATTATTTATTTCTATATTTATTTATATTTTTCTTATATTTCTTAAATCTATTAAAGGCTGTAAAACTTCTTTTCAGACTTCGTTTCATATTCTGATTATTTTTATACTATCTCTGAAGTTTGTTTCACTCTCTCTTACATCCTGTAAAGGACCTTTGGGTGAACTACTGTAGGGTGACAGGGGTTGTATGGACCAGTACACTAAGGTAACTCCCTACTTGTCTCGAAAAATGTAATAGGTTCTTTAAAGTGCACATACAGCCAATTGTCTACACTGGGCCTACAGTTTATAGTCCTTATCCGAGATGACTCGTTCCACCACCTCAATCATAGGCTAGTGTGCCACTCAAATTGCACATATATTATGGCTGTAGATCCCATGGTTAAAATGTTTAGAAATATGTAAATTTAAACTTATAACTTATTCTGCCATATAGGTATAGATATAAAAAAAAAAAACAAATATTGAAAGTATAAATTTTAAATTCTTGGTGAATATTATAAAATTAAAAAAAAATTAAAAAAACAATACAAAATAATATAAAATATCTTATATAAATTCATATAAAACAGACATAAAGCCATTGTTACTCACACACAGTTATGGCACTAAATGTAGCATGTATAGCTAAGCTTAATCAAAGATAAATACCCATGTCATGTAGGTACTGGTACACTATATACAAAACAGTAGTATATTTATCTATTTTATACATTAATCATTCATTATTATATTCCCTAATATCTACATTAGGCTTTTATTTACCAATGTGCACTAACTTATATAACAAGAAAACCATTTTTAAATGTACACACTTTACATTTTGATAAACACATCATTAATAACAAACAATTTGACACTAACAATTGTAATAGGGAGCCGGAATGGCTAATAAACATTACAACCATACAATGTCGATGATGACCCTGACGAGGCTTAACAGACTCAGTAATAACACAAGAATATTGTCAAATTTTAAGTAAAAACTATACCAATATTTAGTATTATAAAAAGTACTTGTATATACTATTTTCAATAATATTTTATTAAATTCTACAACACAGCACAAAAATAAATATTTTGTAAAAAAAAAAAATCAAGGTATCAGGCCTTGGCAACTTCTGCTTTTAATTCTAGTTTTTGGGAATTTTTAAATTTTCATTTAAAAAAATGATTTTGGAGATTTACTTGTATTATAATATATCAATGTTTTAATGTTACAAATATGAGTTTGCAGTTTCCTTTTTTAAAGGATTAATAAAATTTACTTTGACTTTGATATACTAAACACAGCGATAAATTATTATCATATTTTTTTTAATACCCATTTTTATGGAGGTTTGGCAATAGAAAAGGTCATGAGCTGAGTCAAGGCAAGTAACCTTGGTCACGGCGTTTATTTACATGCTTACCTCTTGTCACCAATGACAAGGTGTTGAAAGATTTTGGATGATCATGGACTATGGTAAGTAAACATACTATATAAGCACCTTCTTTAATTAGAACCACTTTTATATATTGACCGAATACAAGTCATGCAAAACAAAGCTTTTCGCATCATTCTTAACGCTCATCCACTCACCCCACGAATCAACATTTACAACACCCTCAACCTACATACAGTGAAAGATCGTATACATTTTCAACTGGACTGTCTGGCTTTTAGATCTGCCAATGGTCTCGCCCCGGACTATTTAGCTCAACATCTTGCCAGACTTCCCACCAGACGTACCCACAATGCTACCCGGGGGTGTTTTATAACTCCATTCCCCAAAACTGAGACCTTCAGAGACAGTTTTATCTACAAAGCTCCAAAATTTTAAAATTCTCTACCATATGAAATTCAAAATGCATCTTCTTTAAACTTATTTAAAAAAATGTTAAAGAAATATCTTACAACCAAAGAAAAATCTATACGGAACTGTCCCTGAAAGTCACCATTTTTTAATACCATTTTTTAAAATACCTTTTTTAATGCCTTTTAAATGCTTTTTTAATGCTTTTAAATCTTTGTACATACATGCTTCTTTTTTTCCCATTTATGTCTATATATATTTTTATATTAACTTGTTAACTTTGCCTTGCTGTTGTTATGTATTTTGCTTTTTTTTTATGTAAGGGCCCCATGATTGTCAGCTAACCGCTGTTTTGGGTTACCCTCGGTAAATAAAGTTTAATTAAAAAAATTAAAAAAAAACATGCATGGCACAGGAACACTCTACAAACTATGTTTAACAAACTCTGCAATCCAATGACCAGGGAAAAAACACTATTTAATAACAATGGAAGGAATAACAACTTCTAGACAAAAATATCTCAATCACTTTCATTTTGAGTACTAGTATTATCAGATTCGGGAGTCTCAGAATTTGAACTTGAAGATGATGATGGTATAAACTCGTATAAATAATTGCAATCTTCAAAATTGTGTTCTTGTAATATGTGCTGTATAACTCGGCCCTGTAGGAGTCGTTTTCCATAATCCACTCCATCAGCACGCTCTTCAGCGAGCCCAATATCTAGTAACCAATCAACGAGTTTAGATCCTTTAAACACGTTTGAATAAGTCTTGAAATGATACCTGCAAAATTTCATAGAACACAAAAGGAAAATTTACAATTTCTTCTTGAGATGGGCTTCTTTTTTAGATTACTTTTGCAAACTAAAAAGGAGGAGGGGGGGGGTCCTTTTCAAAATGAATGCTGTCAAATTTTAGAATTGCTCCTATATGACATTTTTCAACTATGGAGTTCAAAATTAAATTACTATTGATACTGACATGCTAGTAATCATCAAAGATAGCATTAGTGTGAATGTAAATACTATCTTTAAAGAAGCACATATTATCTTGGGCTTCTTTTTGAGATGGGCTTCTTTTTGAGATCAAACTGAAGTCGGGGGAGGGGGCTTCTTTTCGAGATGGGCTTCTCGAGATTAAGCCCATGGGGCTTCTATTCAAGTTTTTACGGCACACAAAAACCCAACATTTATTTGAATTGCTTACTACAAATTTCAAGATATTAGTTCACCATTCAATTAATGAATTTTAAATCCCATGCAAACAAATACAATTAATAATAACTACAAAATATATAACAGACCTGAAAAAGCTGAGTTGAATATTTATAACATCACTGCATCACCAAAAATTGCTTTCAGTGGATTTTGTCACTTGATTTATTGAAAATTATGTTTTTACTAAAAATTAAAGTGAATTATATTTGAATTCAACTGACCTTAAATCTTGAACAATTTCATTTTTACATTTTGCGACATGATGTACAAGGAACTGATCACAAGTGTGGAGGACCTCCGGGCTTAAATCCGACGGGTCCTCTAGATGTACTTGTTTGACGCCATAGAAATATTTACGGAAACTGTAAGAAAACAAATTTAAAATCCATATTAAAAGATGAATGTAAAAATATATTACATATATAAGGACGGTAAATAAATTAAAATGATTAATAGTATGCACACACACTAATGTGTGAATGCTTTGTATTTGTATTTTAAAGTTTGGGATTATGTATAAGATTAATTGAGTTATACCAAATAAATATTTATTGGAACTGTGAACTATGTCACAGAACTGTGTCAATGGAGGATCCCTGGTCACTTCTTTAACCATCAGAAATATTTTAAGTAGGAATTTATGACAGATAAAAAGTGTTTTTTTACAGAAATTAATATGTATGCAGGTATTTATTTCTTCAAAGATCAGCTAAATAAATAGTAAACAAAACGTACCAGCTACATATAAGAAGACATATATTATTGAAGCCAAATGAAATTCTTTATAAAATATTATTATACAGCAATATATCTCTGTTGAAGAATTTTTATTTAATGCAAAAATCTGTGACTTATTACTACTTTTGCTTTGTAATTATTCTATTTTGCTTTTGTTTTTGTATTTTATGTGAGAAAGAAAGTGGTCGTCTGTTGATTGTTTTTCAATTGAATATTCAATGAATTTCCAGAATAAAGTAATATGCTGATTATTGGGCGTTGGGATTGTGATGCACAACCGTAAAAGTTTTGTATACATAAAATATTAAAATTATTGTTTTTGTAATGCATTATAGCTATTCTACTATTATACATAAATATGTATGTTAATGAAAATCCAGTTATTAAGCTATACACTACAGAGGCCAATAAATAAAGATTATTTCATTATTTTTAAAAACCACTCAAAACTGAAATGTGTCAATAATATTATATAAAAATTAGTTACCAATAAACCAGACAAAAATACAATAGAGCACAATACAGTATGTGAGAACCTGCAATACAGTGCACAAAACAATGCTAATTTAACAGCGATTGAAATTAGAGGCATATTATATGTAATTACAGGTGCAACATTCCACCACAGAATGAGTTTATTTTTTAGATTGCAGACACCAAAACTATGATATTGGCTATATTTAATTTATATTACAAGATTTATATATTACAATTTAAATATTGTTGAAATTATACTTGCAAGTTAAAGTTCAAGTTCAATTTATTGTCATATACAAAGTAAATGAAATTTGTTTTCCAAGGTTCTCAATAAAAACATTGACATACTAAAATACAATTCAAAGATACGATATAAAATAAGTTAACCTTGCACCTGCAAGTGCAGATTTTAAAGTTTATAAATGAGGCTTTTAAAACAATATACCAATGGAAAAAGAATGTGGAAAAAACAAAGTCAATTGCAACACAAAATTTTGTGATGGAGAGGATCACATCTCTAGGTAGTGACAGCAAAATGGTAAAAATAGGTGATACAATTCCAAAAGCACAAAGGATGACCATTAATACCATTTTCACTGAGGTGCTAGGCAATGTGTGTTCTTGTAACCACTTAACCAGATTAGCTTGTCGTGAAGGAAGGGAGGGTCAAGTGCTACAAACAACCCATAAAACCCAAAGTAATAAAAACAAACCATTACAAATTATAGGACCTCACCCCCTGGGACTACAAAACAAAATAAACAAGTGCTTTTTCCCATCAACAGCTGAATCACAAAAACTCATTTTACAGACAATAAACATAGGAAGTGAATTAAAAATGTCAACAATACTGGAGTAAAGGTAAGCTTTATATTTACTACAGTACATAGATCTATATACTATATAATAATTGTTACACTGCCACACAAATAAACTTATAAATTTAATGATGGTAAAAAAATATAATATAAAAAAGCAAATACACCACTATTTCTAAATAGTGTTGAACTAAAGCAATTAAAAACAGATGGGAAGGTAGTTTTCATATTAACACAGGGAGGTGCTACACATTTTTTGATTTGGTGCCATATCACAATTTATTATGAGGGTATTTATCTAGTACCCCCGTTACATTTTTTTTATAAGAATGAATGTATAAGAACACTAAGGCTAAAATGGCTTAAAAATAAGAACAAATTGAAGCTGAGGTAAAATTTCAAATGATGTTTGTATTATATAATGTAAACCAACAAATCACTAGTCACATACTGTAGCAGTGTAATACTATGTAATACCCACTATAACACAGTACAGTAATATACTGCTGTAAAATAATAACAATCTTTGAAAAAATGGTTAAAATATGAACAAAATAAACCCAAAATTGGCCAAAAAAGTGTAGTTGTGCTATTCTGTAGTGGGCTCCAAATAAACTTTAGTACAATATTAGTATTATGCAGTATGGTAATACAGTGCTCCACCACCCAATTAAGGTTAAATATAGTTCATTTCCAAATTCCATTGATTACTTGGTGAATATCTTAATAAAATATAACAATATATAGGCCTAATAATTAGCCTTCCCTTAGCCATAACAATAACCTTTCCAAAGCCAATGTGATACAACTGCAATAAACTTTGAAATTACAAACAGGGATTGATATCAGGCTCATACAAGGTTTTGGGATTCAGTAACAGCAGTAACAAAAATCACAAGCATGTAGACACACATAAGTTACAAACCCGTTAAAGCAGCCACCAGAACGTTTCAGTAATATACCACGAAGTCTAATCCTTTAGAGGAAAACAATTAGAGTTAGGAAGTATGTAGGGTCATCATCTCACCATAGTGCACACCCCTCCCACCTCCCACCCCACACATACTTTCCATTCTTTGAGTTCAGATAAAATATATATATATATAAGATGGTAGATCTATTCTAAAAGAAAAAGCATTACAATGAAATATAATTCTTTAGAGTATATTTAGTCTAAGGCATCATGTTCAAGAAGTAGCAAGGAATGATAGTCAATAGTATACAAATATTGACTGCTCATGAGGGGAATGTTGAAATTTATTGCTCCGAGATGACGTGGAGACCGTAGCGTTTGCGGATCGGGGGACCCCTGAAACATTTTGACCCCTCCTTAAATGTAAACATAGATCCGCCCCTGCGTAGCCCATCTGAAACTAGAGCAGTCAATATTTGTTTAGGCTACGGTCTCTACATCACTGAGGGGCTTTAGATTTTACTGTTACCCGAAACTAGAGCAGTCAATATTTGCTTTATAATACCTCATACATAGAATCTACGAGGCCTAAAAAAAGAAAAGAGTAGGCTTGCTTCCTAAGCCTAGACGATCAAGGGTTAATCACTCTCAGCTTCATAAAGGCCGCGTCTTTTTTAGCGTGCGTGTCATAAATTGCATAGCAACCATGATATAGGTGGGGGGGCCGAGAGATTACACATCACGACAGGGCAAAAAATTACTATCACACTAACCTACGTCATAGTGTGATGGTTGAAGTTATTGCCTGCTTCTTAACCAATCAAGATGCCTAGATTCTATGTGTGGTATATCAGACATTCACCTAAATTTCAGTTTTGTCATAAAAAACCTCATACTTCTAAACTTTTCAAAATTCATTCATCATATTATTTTGGGATTACTACACAATGTCTCAGAGAACTTATTGATAAATTATTTTTCTTTGAATAAAAATGATACAAACTTACGTTTTGATGAAAGGTACTAAAACATACTGCGTATCAAATCCAAACACTGCTAGCACAAAAAATCCCTGACCGTAGTTAAAGACACTATCAAGGAATTCCAGCTCTATATAGATCCCAGATTCAGTGTTGTTAAATATCTTCCATGTACATAAAAACAAACCCTACAAGAATATTAAAATAATAAAAGTAAATACAGTAGAACCTCTACTTTGGGAAACCCCTATTAAGGGGACACTTTATCAGCACAAAGAAATTAACACATAAGATGAGTAATGCAAGGTTATACAGCCATAATGAAGCAAGAAAAATGGAGCACAAGAATTAAAGGCAGGAAATTAAAATGGTACAGACATATAATTAGACTACTGGTTAAAAAAACAATGGAAGAGATAAAACGAAAAGTAGGAACAACGTAGGAACGAATACGAAGACCCAGAAATAACTGGATGAACATGTACACTATAACAAATTATCCTGCCTTGAATAGAAACAAATTGTAATGTCACCAGACGGAACATTTTAAAAAAGAAGACAGAACATTTTAAAAAAGAAGGAAATGAGAGGAAATATTTCTCAACCAATTTAGTGCAGCTTTAACTCTTCATGTAAATGACAGTCAAAGATCAAAGATCTTAAGACCTGTTCAGACTATCAAATTATATTTGACAAAAACATGTGACATGCCTAAATATGGTCATAATGACATCATGACTAAATATGGGCATACAACAGTTTTTTGTAAAAGAAATTTAAATAGTTTGGACAAAGCTTTACTCACCACCACCATGGAGAGGATCAGCAAGAGAAGCAGCACCAAGTGTCTACCTATCTGGTGTTTAGCAGACTCTGACATGCTAGAAAACATACTGAGACGCCTCTCTTGTCGTCTGCGATGCAGCAACATGCTGCGGCAGTGATCCTTCCGTTGAGGGGAGCATTGGTAAGATGCTGAACACATCTGGACGCTCAAGTTCTGGATGCCATCTCTGGCAATATCCTCGATGTCGAGAACTCCTTTCTTGGGTGTAGCCTGGTAGGAACCAGAGTTGATAGGTTTCTCTACATCACTATCATCTGAAATATCATCTAGTAAAAATAAAATAATAATAAAATCAAGTAAAAAATTTAGTTTTAATTTAAGATGAGATGAAGACTTGCTCAGCATTTAGAAATTATCTTTATACGAAAATAAAATTTAAAACACTATAACAATCAGCTTTCTACCGATGCTGGTTCAGCAGTCAATTTTACTAGTAAAAAAACCAGACGACCAGTAAAAATTGTGTGTTTGCAAAAAAAAAAAAAACCTTGATTGGGCCTAGGTAGCCTAGGCTGGTCTACTTTCAATAAAAAAAAAAACTTACAGTCTAGGCCTAGAATATGACTTACTGAACCAATCCTGAAAGCTGTGAACTTGGCTGGCTTTATATGGACAAATTTTTACTGGTACATTGGGAGAACACAAACAATCATAATGTATTTAATTTTTAAAAAAAGATTTAGAAAAGAGGTCATGGTAGGCTTCAAGCATTTCTCGATGTGCATACCGTACCTTCATCTTCTGTAGTATTGAGGAGAGTATCAGATTCTGGATTTCTGTCATGTGACTCTCCTTGTAATTGTTCATAAGTAGAATGATGGAAACGATCTCTACGTTGCAGAATCACCAATGGAATGATAGTCAATAGAATATTGAGCACTAACATCAATGTGGATGTGATCAGCTATAAGGGAAAAAGTATATGTGATAATATTTTCATTAAAAATATGTATATTACCATACATGCTAAAATATCTACTGGTCACTAGACAATATTGAAGGTGGGGGGGGGTCGGGCAAGTATCACAATGAGTCTACTTATCAAAACAGGATACATTATTTTATTTTAACTACTATACAACTACAAAATCCTGGCTCGCAGTTAAGGGTGTATACTACATATTATTCTAAAATAATTGTTGTTATTGATGATGTTCATTGCATCATCTCTTTCTAATTTACCTGTGATCTGCCGTAACCAAATACAGGTGATATCAGGTCATCATTTAAGTTACTAGCAGCAACTAAAACACCAACCACAACCATTGGGACACTTAAAAAAAAATAGAAAATATCATAACACTAACTTAGAAACAGACTTGTTCTATTTATGTTTGTAAATTTGATAAAAGTAAATAAAGGTCAGTAGAAAAAGTCAAGTTCAGAAACAGTACGCAGAGGGCGACAGAGTAAATAGATGTAAGATTCCTTTAAGGGCAAAGGGTTTAAAATTGGAATTTTCACAGGACAGAGAAGCATGAAATTACATTTCAACTTACCCCCAGCCATAAAAGTAAAACCAGAACTTGTGCTGTAGAACAAAGCAGGTACTACGGCATCGCAGCAGGCAGAGGGCGACAGATATCATAGCTGCCCAACAACGGGCACTGAACACACCCACGAGGAAGATGGTGTGTTGGACAAGGTGTTGCCAGTATGTGCAGTTTTTCCACGATACCAAGAGAATGTATCCAATGCACATCAGCATCTATGAAGGTAGAATAAAACCATTGTTGTGGTGGAAGTTTGTGGAAAATAATGTGTTAAGGTGGGGACTCGCTGGTAACGGCAGTCGTAAAACCATCACACAACGGATCCAAATTTGATCCCTGTGAGCGCTAGACAATGCGACATCGGCAGCCTTAAAGGATTGTCATTAAAAAGGATCCGTTGCGCGCACTTCGTCACATTGCATTCTTTATAGAATCGTATCGACTGACGAACGTTGAGTGCGCGAGTGTCCAGCTTTAGTAGGCTTTGTTCACTATATCAGTTTTTATGTGATAAAGTGTTGTTGCATTAACAATTAGACAAACATGTTCCTTATGTCTTTTGGGCTTTTCTTACAATGTTATCATCTTGATCCTATTGTTTTTTATGTTTGATTTGAAAGGAAGAAATAAATGTTTATTTGAATTTGAATATAAATGCCATTTTGAAATGTTGAGAGACGCTCAAATGTATATTTTCTGCTTTGACTTTTAATCTTTGAATTTCTTGTATATATGTTGAGCAACCCTTAATGTCAGCTCTCCAGTTTAGTATGATGCAAAGGCCATTCTCATTAAATATAGTACAAAAATATAGCTTATAATAATAGCAAAAAACAATGTAGACATGTATTACAAAATGATATCTTTATTCAGTTAATTCCCTTATTCATAGGTAAGATATCAAAACATTTTTTTTTAAATGGAATGTTATTATCAATACAGACACATACCTGTGCAACAACTAGATTGGTTGTAAACTTATGAGGTAGACGCAAGTATCTTCTTCCAAGCAAAAAAATTAGAAGAATCCAGCACTAGATGTGGGAAAAAAAGAAAGAGAGAAATTTAATATTCTGTTAGAACTTTAAACGTATATAGAGAAAAAAACAGTATTTTATAATAATATTTTATCTTAATAATATATCATAACATTCCATGTTTCTATTTTGAGATATTCTTGAGATTCTTTTTCAAATGTATTATGAGAATTAAGGTTAACTTACACAGGAACCAAAACCGATCCAACTGATATCGTATGAGACATCTGACAGAAACATATTATACTTGTCTGGATAATCTACAGGCAGTGTTACCATAGAAGCTGTTATAAACATCAATGGAGCAGAGATGAAAGTTCCTAACACCATCGCTGTTGCAATCTGTTAGCCATAAAAGTACAGTTTGAATTAAAACAATTAATATTATAGTCAGTTTTAGATTTAGAAAAAAACAAGGGGTAAACAGAACCTTACTATATCTAAAATCATCTTTTATGAGGGTGGCCTCTTCATATAATTATAAAGTAGGAGAAACAACCCAAAATAAGTACACATTATACTTTATATTAGGCATGCCATCCCAAAACCAGCATACTTACGCTAAATGTTAATATAAGTAATTAGCATCAATAATGTTTCAGTATATTTGTACAGAGAAGTCATAATACTTTTACTCATAACTTTGGCAATACCTGTAGAAAGTCAATTCCAGTAAATGATCCATCATTTTAAAGCTAATAATGTGGAGAATAAGAATATATTAAGAAGGCAGTTTTTTTTTATTTTTGGTCACCGATGCTGGTTTTGGGATGGCAAACCTCATATATTTGAATACAATCCTCTTGCAGAAGAGTCCATTGAGTAAATAACTGTATTCATGTTCATTTTAATATTAATATTACAGTTCTCATTAAATTTCTTTATTGCCTTATACTGCACCACACTCGCATTGTTAGCTGGCTCAGAGAGAATGGACATTCTCTATGCCAATCCAAATTTGTATGTAGTGTAATACTAATAATGATATTACACGTGCTGTCTGAGTGCATATAAGTCAACAATACGATAAATTAAAGAAGTTTAGTTGATGTTTGTACTAATCATTAAAATAAAATAATGAGACCATAAATAACATGTAATGGTGTGAAATGCAATGATCAGATACATAGACAGTACTTACAACAGCTGTTGCTATCCCATAATAAGAGGCAAAGATAAATGCGGTGGGAGCGGCTGGAATTGTACCATACAAGAAACCATATGTGCTGAAATCAGTAGTCAGATTTGAATCGGCTCCGCCTGGTTTCATGGCATAGACTACTTGTCTGGCAACTAGAGGTAATAAAACCCTACGGGAAAATAAGATTTTATGAATTAGGAATGAATGAAATATAGTTGTAAATAAAGACAAGTTCAGTTTATTATGGAACTTAAGGTGCAGTTTGGTTGAAGGCGGAATTAAGCACTGTGTGCGCTGAACCTTGAAGATCTTTGTGTCCCTGGTTTTAAGGGGTTATCCATTATTTTCAACATTTTTACGAGAGCAAAATACAAACTCTCTTCGGTTACCCCCTCTTTCTCCTGAAAGAGGACAAAATAATGGTATTTTGTCATTTGAGATCATCATTTATCTTTTAAAAAAAATCACTCTAAACTCCTCCCATGCAAAAGTATATACTCTTGCTAAAATGATGAAAATACACAAATCAGTAGTGATGTTGGTAGTCTATGAGTGGATACTTACCTAGAAAGTATCCACTCATAGTCTACCTAGGTTTAGGGCCCCTACAGCAAGAACACTCTGATTTATCTCACTATGAATCCAAGTAGATATATCTGATATAAACAATCCAAAAACACACGAAAATCGAGGTGTAGCATTCCATTTGATGTATCGAAAAAGAAAAAAAAGGGAAAAAGCATTGTTGTAGGGTTGTTAGTGCTTGGCGCCAGGGCCGACTGTTAATTTTGTTTTCAAGGGGTGTTCACAATTTTGAAAAAGAATAGGTAATTAGTCGGTTTATCCACAAAATAGACTAATGTGGAAGATCCCTAAACCCCCAAGCATTATTATCTTTATCATCAAGCATTGGCATATAGCTCTCATAACGCTAAAATAAGGTAAACAGAGAAATAGAAAAATAAACTTACAATTTAGCAGCAATTAGTAATACTGGTGTAACAAAGAAAAAGCCAGTATCCTGCTTAATCTTGCCAACCATGTTTAGGCCGAGATAAAACAACGCTGTTGCCGAAAACGATGCACTCAGTGTCTCTAGAATAGACTTAATCAAGGTGGGTACAGTTTGACTAAAGACGTAGTTTCCTATCAGTCCAATTAGGACCATGAGCACAACTGGATTGAGAATGATTCCTTTGAAGACTTTGAACAGCATGGCACCCCATGACATTGACGCGTGGCGGTTCTTCTGGATCTCAAGACAGATGAACGCAATGGGATTGAGGAGGACTAATGAGATTGGGGCAAAGAGGTACAGGTATGGAATGAACTCTGGATGCGTGTCTTTATACAAGGTGACAACTGTGAAATAAACCAACAATAATTACCATAAAATCTTCTGAAAAATTATCATATAAAAGTAACCATCATTATCATTTTTCTTATATATACTGTACACATTTTAAAATAAACTTGGACTATAACTGGTACTGGTATTGGCATTTATAATGCGCCTCTTCTTTGAGGTTATCAAGCATAACTCTTTTCTCTGGTCATTGGGTCCACATGCTTTAAGTGTTGCTACTGGTAATCAGCGCAGGAGAAGGCAACCCCACCAGGTACACTTTTACACCCCTGGGTGGAGAGAAGCAATGCAGATAAAATGCCTCACTCAAGAACACAAGCGAAATGCACAGCGAGGGACTGAAACCCCGACTTCACGGTCGGTTGGGAAACCAAACCGTTCCCGCTGCGCCAGCCAACCTCCACAGTACTTAAGTATTTATTTATGTTACTTATTCATAATTTTAGTCAGGTGGTTCAATTATTAGCCTACTCCAGGTCTGGGGTAGAGAGTACTGTACTACGGAATGTGATAAAAGAAACAGTGACAACAACAACAACAAGAACAGCATTAGCAAGAAGAGCAGCAGCATCGGCGGTGGCGAACACAACAACAACATAAAAAACAATAAAGATATTAATAATGCCACAAATTAAAAAAAAAAATTGTCCACCTTAATATAAATAATAAATGGTATACTTACTAATAGGATAACCAAGAGCAAAATCATTACTTTGGGTACACGCAATTGAATGGATCCCTGCTGACCCGATATCACATTTGCGTCCAAGAATCAACGTAAATATAAACACTATCAAAAACACTATCACTTTCGAGATTAATATTGCTGTCCAGAACAGCCAGTTAACCTTTCCAAAGTTCAGTTCCACCATTGACTTGAGGAGGAGGGCTGGTAATGCAAAGTATGTGATGTAATTTCCAAGACCTTTTGACTGTGTAGCGTTTAAAAGTTTTACACGTCCGGACACATAACCGAAGAGTATAATGGAGAAGCTCTGAAAAATGGCTGGGTACAGGTTCTGGAATGTGTGTCCGACAACGCCATCATTGTCGTTATCGTTGTTACTACTGTTCAGCATGTTGGTTCTTTTTAAGTATACTTCTGAAAAATAAATTTGATAATAATTTATTCTATTACAGTATTTAAAAAAAATCATGTTGCAAATCTTATTCAATAACATGAAAATATAAATTAATAGCAAAATAGAATACAGTAGTGATTGTAAGTCAATAACTTATACCCTATTCAGACTAGACTTTGCATTGCGATCGGTTGTGATGTAATCGGTGGTAAACAGTTGTAATCCAAATTGTTCGCAACAGTTCCCAGCATTCAGACACCTTTTTACTTTGATACTTTACATCACTAGCAACGATATAGGTCGTCCTGTTTTGTTTGACTTCAGCCAATCAGTGCCTGTGGAATCCGTTGCGATCGGATTCCGTGGTAATCGGGAGTAATAAAGATTGTAGCACCCAATTGCAACGGGTAATAATTGTGAAATTGATTACTTATCAATTGGTGAACTTTCAGACGCGATTTTACTTTGCGATTGGGTGTTGCTACAACCGTTCGCAATGTGAAGCTAGTCTGAATGGGGTCTTAGCCTACAACTTACAATATCGTTCGAAACAATATTTTACTGATTGGAGATGTAACCCAGCCATTTTAAGGCTGTGTTATACTGACTCTAGTTTTGTTAGGAACCATATTTTATATTTATATTTTTTTACAAAGTACTGTTGCTTACAAGTTATGTACTGTTGCTGTACCGCAACTGAACAAATACGCTAAACTGTGTACAATTATATTATACAAATACACTGTTATTTTCATAAGTGAAAATTCACTTAAACGTTTGGCAGAGTTTATCAATTCATTTGAACATTTGGCAGAGTTTATTATTGGATATTGGCTCTCTATTTTAGGTGAGTTTTAAATATTAACTTGCTTTGTTACATTTAAATGTGTTAACGCAGAATTGCGCTAGATGTTAATAGTGTTTATGAATATAAGTTTACCTATTGATCTGCACTATTTTATATAGTGTCCGATATAATTAGTTATTACGTTTGAACAATATACTGTATATAGTTTGTTTTATTGGTTTGAGAAGTAGTAACTGTACATTAAAATCATTACAGTTATGATTTACCATAGCCCGTTAATGTTTGAATGTAGTTTAATTTACTTTTGTATTACAAACATAGGAAACGTTTCATGCATTGTGGCTTATGCCTTTTAAATTCCAATGGGCATGGGATAATCCTATTAGTTAAAGATAACCATATTGTACCTGTCATTACTCAAGACAACAATGATTGTATTATAGTTTTACTTTTATCTTTTTGGTTAAGTTTGCTCCTAAGGCTACAATATTGCCAGTAGACCTATGTTATATCCCGCTGTTTTAATTATTGCTATCACAGATAATGATAGTACTGTAGAGAGAGATACTCTACATTTAACTGTTTAGGCATACAGTATAGTATTTTGTTACCTCTCTATTTTAGCCTGGATATTTGCCATAATTGGCGCAGACCAATGGTAAAGAACTTATGAGGGAAAAGCTATCTCTGATCAGTCCAGAAGTGGGTGCTCATAGATACGGTAACAGCCGCACGTATTGTCTACTACGACCTACGATAAACAGACTCATCGTTGGAAGCGAGTCCTCGATGCATCCTGTCTCTTATACACATCTAGATGTGTATAAGAGACAGGTACACTGTTATTTTCATAAGTGAAAATTCACTTAAACGTTTGGCAGAGTTTATCAATTCATTTGAACATTTGGCAGAGTTTATTATTGGATATTGGCTCTCTATTTTAGGTGAGGCCTGGTAACAATTACTGACCAATAGTGGTCAGTGTAGGTCATGTGAAGTTCTGTCTCTTTTTCTGCCTTTTACAATTGGAAGCGCTGGTCGTTTCAAACTGCCGATCTATACAACTTTATATTTTTTTACAAAGTACTGTTGCTTACAAGTTATGTACTGTTGCTGTACCTCAACTGAACAAATACGCTAAACTGTGTACAATTATATTATACAGTACACTGTTATTTTCATAAGTGAAAATTCACTTAAACGTTTGGCAGAGTTTATCAATTCATTTGAACATTTGGCAGAGTTTATTATTGGATATTGGCTCTCTATTTTAGGTGAGTTTTGAATATTAACTTGCTTTGTTACATTTAAATGTGTTAACACAGAATTGCACTAGATGTTAATAGTGTTTATGAATATAAGTTTACCTATTGATCTGCACTATTTTATATAGTGTCCGATATAATTAGTTATTACGTTTGAACAATATACTGTATATAGTTTGTTTTATTGGTTTGAGAAGTAGTAACTGTACCTTAAAATCATTACAGTTATGATTTACCATAGCCCGTTAATGTTTGAATGTAGTTTAATTTACTTTTGTATTACAAACATAGGAAACGTTCTATGCATTGTGGCTCATGCCTTTCAAATTCCAATGGGCATGGGATAATCCTATTAGTTAAAGATAACCATATTGTACCTGTCATTACTCAAGACAACAATGATTGTATTATAGTTTTACTTTTATCTTTTTGGTTAAGTTTGCTCCTAAGGCTACAATATTGCCAGTAGACCTATGTTATATCCCGCTGTTTTAATTATTGCTATCACAGATAATGATAGTACTGTAGAGAGAGATACTCTACATTTAACTGTTTAGGCATACAGTATAGTATTTTGTTACCTCTCTATTTTAGCCTGGATATTTGCCATAATTGGCGCAGACCAATGGTAAAGAACTTATGAGGGAAAGGCTATCTCTGATCAGTCCAGAAGTGGGTGATCATAGATACGGTAACAGCCGCACGTATTGTCTACTACGACCTACGATAAACAGACTCATCGTTGGAAGCGAGTCCTCGATGCATCAGAGCGAAAACCCAAATAAAACCAAGTAGGCCTACTGTAGTAAACCATTGGCGCCTTAATTATGTTTTACCTATATTGTTATGTTTGATTTATCAATTTAATTTGTAGTTAATTGAATTAAATAAACTTCATCTTAATTATTAATTATTTGTTTAATGTGTTATCATTTCCGTCATATTTATTTGTTAAGAATAAATATATTATTCAGAGACGAAACCTGGGTTACAGATACTTAATTAAAAAAAATATAACCAGTGGTTTGTAATCTACTACAACATTATTGTTAGAAAAAATAATGTTAAATGTTTGTAAATATGGTAAAGGGTAAAGTAGTCAAACCTATATAGGTCCAGAGTGCCCCCCGCCCCCTAATTATTTGGGATGAGACTGAAATACTTTGAGGAGACTACCACCCCTTCTCAGATCGAGTCTGTTTACCCTCTAAGCATATGCCAATATCCATTTATACTCCTGGGTAGTGACACACAAATAAACTGTTTTGCCGAAAAACACGACTTGCACAATAAGAGTTCGAACCCCTGACCACGAGGTTGAGAGTCCGAGCCACAATCGCTGCGCCAAACTCTATATGTGCTCTTCTCAACAGGTCCATCAGTATTGCCTATTAATGTGAGGCACATAGAGGCCTTAAAATGATGTGCTATATATGAGATTACCAGTATTAATAATAATGACTCTGAGTAAACATTTGTAAACACAATATAGATTGTTGATTAGTTAATATTTATATATTCTGCTGACTGGCAGATAGCTCTATTGATGCTTATTGTTAAATGTTACTGTCTGTCAATGACTTTGCGACTGCTAATCGACAATGCACTGCTGTGGCTTTTCCTGAGTGCTTTCTAGAGTACCACTTAATGTGTTATTAAATTGGAAGTGAAAGGGAAGCTATAGAAGAAAGTGGGATGGTTGATGGTAGTGCTGCTATACACACAAACAGAGGTTAATATTTATTGATTGAGATACTAGATAAAATTTCTGATGAGTGGAGCTGGAAATTGGTAGCAGCAGTGTATCTAAGAAAAAGCATGGAGTGAAAGTCCACTCATTCCCACCCACCATACCAAAAAAAAAAGTTCATCCCTTAGTGTCCTTTACTGGCAATATGCTTTGCACAAAGAAATATACACTGGTACATACTGTAATATCACATTACTTTTAGAGCTAACACATAGCTATACATATATATATATATACATATACATATATATATATACATATATATATACATATATATATATATATACATATATATATATATATATATACACTGGGTAGAGAGACAAACAGAGATAAATTGTCTTGCCGGAAAATACACTTCCCTCAAAACATTATTATTAAATTTGTTTGAGCATCACTGGACACAAATGCAGTAGCAGTGCCAAGATAGGAACAGCCTAAAGGAAAGAGATTCTGTTTTTGCCCTCACACTCAACATGTGCCATGCCACTTGAACTCACTAAGGTTCCTAGGCAAGTCCTGTATCCCCGTAGAGCTCAGACAGCTGTCCTACCCCTAGGGTTCACCTACCCACCTTTGTTGTAAGGATCATCCTTGTGAAATAGTGATAGGAAAAAATCAGCAAAAGAATGGAGCACAAGGTGTTGAGTGCTAACAACAAGTACTTAAATATGCCAAGAGGGAATCATACTATGTACAGTACTTACCACCACCTAAAAACGAAACCATCATAAATATAGAAAATAAAATCAATGACCACTCAGCAAAATATACTAGCTTCCTTGCCTCAGTGCTTAGTAATACCTTCATCTTCAGTATTACTTGTATAGAAGACACCAACAAATTTGCTCCATCAAAATTCAATACAAAAATAAATGGCATGAAATCTGACTGATGAGTTCGGCGCAATATGAATGTTAACAAAAGGCAAAAATTGTCAGAATTTTAATGTGATTATTTAAATATCACCTCAGTAGTGTTATAATCAAAGGTAGAGTCAATACTCTTAATAACAATTAACATATCAGAAATATCACACTGAATAATCAATATGCCTATATCTGTATAATACAGTAAACCACAAAAGAAATTAATTCTATTTTTTCTCCATAATATGTGAACGATTCATTGATCCTCCAGCTGTTGGGTTAAGTTTTTGAACAAACAAGGAACGAAGTCCAACTTTACTGTTGAGTCAAACAGTCTGATCTTGGCTACAATATGCATATCTAATCTTTCAATTCACATTATACACCCATTTGTTTCAACATCACCAACATTTAAATTAATTTTGAAAGCTGTTTAGTCATATAATACAAAACATGGTATGTATTACAAGCACCTTTAAGAAGAATTACAATATTTAGCCAACTACATTTTCTCATCAGTAGGTGTTAAAAATAGCTCCTGTATTTCAATAAATAATACAGTAAGAAGCTGAATTTATTCTGTACTTCAGTCAATAGATTCACTTTAATATGTCAGGAAAATATATTTTTCCAAAAATATAGCATCATCAATGAAGCCGTATACAGTAATTGTAAACCAACAGGACGAAACCTTAGAAATGCACTGACAAGATAAAGTGACGTAACAGAATGAATCTTTTCCTGATCGCTTCAAAGAAAAAGATAAGATGTGATATGTTGGCTTAGAATATTCCACTTAACAAATTTACACTCATCAACAATAAGAAATCCTTGGAGTCCATATTTAGAAGGCTGTTGTTAACATAACTGGAGATATTCCTCTTAATTTTCTTTTCAATGCGGTAGAGCGTAGTAAATAAAATACATACTGTTGTACAAGATCTCATCCTCTTAATTTTTTTTCAATGCGATACAGTGTAGTTGATGAAATAAATACTGTTGTACAAGATCTCATTCACGTCAGCTGAAATCAATACATCTTATACAGTCTAAAGCTTTTAATGTTAACACAATAATTATTTCCCATTTGTGACGTCGGAGCAGTAAGCCAGTTACATAACAGGTATTTTGACAAATAAGTATAATAGAGAACGAGATTTTAAAATATTACATTATTTCAACCTTGACTATTCAAGGATTTTAATTGGAGTACAATAGCAACCAATGATTCAAAGAAAGAAAAAAAAACCAGGCAAATTTTTGAATTATCCACGCTGATCCAGAAAAATTGAACAAATATTATTTCACAAATCCCAATCGATGTTGTTGCTGAATGCAAATAATCCAATACATACAGTAATCATATGGTACCAGTCATGATAATGATGCTTCGGTATCTTCAATGAAACATATAATGCACCACTGCAATAGAGTTTATTCCAAGACAACACTGTCTTTTTTGAAAATGTAATCATGACTAATTTCTAAATTCTTGAAATATGCTTGTATTCCGAAGAAAAATATCTAATTATATATACCGCAGTAAATCTCAACAATGGAGTCGTGTATTCCGAAATGTCAGTTATTAGTTGATTTTATTGTGAGATCAATTCAAGCTACCATACAGATATTGAAAGATCATGCAACTGTGTCTTGATGGAAAACAACATCTCTAAATGTGCCGGATTCTTGTCCTGCATACAATTTATTCCTAAGAGTTCTCAAAATAGCAAATTGTCATTTTCATTGATCTTGAATGTCGATTATGATGTCATACATAAACCCCCGAGGGAGCTGTGTGTCTTAAAGTAGGCAAATCCGTCAAAACAACAATTAAACGCATGCAGACTCATCTACTGAATATGTTAATTATTAGAAATATATTATTTCCAGAATCTCTCATTAAAGGGACTGTGTCATAAACTATATATTAAATATTCTATTTCATCATAAAATATTTGGTATAATAGTAAATGTACAGTTTGGATCTGGATATAGAGGTCTTTAGTCCTGCATCCAGTACATCACCTAAGTAAACCTAAGTATAAAGTAAACTGTGACTTTAGTTAAAATCAGTAGGAAAGAAAATAGGGAACCCTTATAAACTGTGCATGTATCAACACCACATATGTTACAGTATCAACAAGTCAGATACATATTTTGCACCAAAAAAATCTTTTAAGTTTCGTTGAAGTTTGTAGGCTATATAAAGATATAGAAATTAAGGAATTTCCAAACCCATGTTGGACACCTTTGTACCGACACACTGACATCATATAAATCCATGAATACAGTAGTTCTGGATAAGTTGGAAGGTTTACCATCAATTTAAAATATGGTGAAAAAATAAAAAATTCAAATGTACTGCCACGTCAATGCTTGCTTTTTGATCTCAGTTGGCCACTTCTTGAAGATCGGAGGTCATCAATACGCCTAAACATGCTACACAAAATTGTTCATGGCCTAGTAGATATTGATGCAACAGAAAATCTCGTCCTCCAATCTAGAAGACACCAACGATTCCACCAATTCTCTTATCACAGACTTCATGCTAAGACTAAAATGTACTACGCAAGTTTTTTCGTCTTTACAATCTACTGTACATCTGGAACAGCATACCACCCTCATTCATCAGCCTTCCTGAACTAAACCAATTCAAGATTGCAGCTACAAACTGCATATAAAATGTACCCTCAACATAATTCATCTAGTCTTGAGCGCTCAACTCTAGTGGGATGCGGATCTTTCCGTTTTACTGGAGTAACTAATACAGATACAGATACTGTATTTCACTATGTGGTACATTTAATTGATAGATAGTTTAATTTATTGATAAATAATTATTGTAAACTGTTCAATAGAAACGATCTGTTGAAACTATAAGAGGGCAGCATCTCATTGCAATGCCTTTGGGGCTGACACCCACCTTTCAATCTGAGGATTGTTCACTTAGTTCACTGACTGACAAGGCATCATGCAACTTTTAAAAGTAAATTACAAGGCTTCACAATTTGTAATAACTTACCTTGGAAAATTGTTTAGAGAATACAAAAGAAATTCTGTAGTCAGATACTCAAAATTCGCATCTCAAAGTGCTTGCTGTGTATGATTACCCACGGTGGTCATGTTTCATAGAAAGTATACCTAGTCAATGCAGCCAGATGGTGCACATTACATATGCCACAGCATCCTACCCCGTCCCATTCCTATAATATAACTGTAGCTAAAAAGTGCCATAAAAATTCACAGTTGAGGGTTGAGCCCAACACCATAGCTTGACACTGTTTACTCTTTCTACTGAACATTACTGTCAGTTACAAAGTGAGAGGAAGTACAACTTCAACAATTTTAATAGTTATTTGATTTATGAAGAAAGGGCAAACGTTTAACCTGCGTTAATTTCCAGCAATCAACAGGCCCGTAGCGTGACTTACTTTGTGGGAGGTTTATTTCAGTGGAAAGTGGACCATTTGGAAACCATTATACAATAACGTAATATTTTTAGCTGGGAAAGCTTATGAAATGCCGACTTGGAATACTTCTGGCTTGTATGATCTCCAATACTCTGGAGAACATTGTATATGTAAATGATGGGTGACTAGAGAACGTAATTACTGTACCGTAAAACCTCAAATAGAAGCCCTGGAGAACATTGTATATGTAAATGATGGGTGACTAGAGAACGTAATTACTGTACCGTAAAACCTCAAATAGAAGCCCAATGGGCTTAATCCTGAGAAGAAGCCCATTTTGAATTGAAGTACTGTACACGTCTTTAGTTTGTAAATGTAGCCTAGAAAATACACAAATCAATGGTGATGTTGGTATTCTATGAGTGGATACTTACCTGGATAAACTGACAAATTGCCTATTCTTTCTCACAACGAGAAACACCCCTCGAAAAATAATAGAACAGTCAACTCCTGGCGCCAAGCACAAGCGGTCCCTCAACCATGCAACTTCCTCATTCTCATTCTTTTTGATTTATCGAAAGTGAAGCACCTTTCAATCGTATAAAATTTATGGGATATTTACACTACTGTTTTGCAGTTTCCTTACAATAAGAGCTTGAAGCCTTGGATTTATTTTTCTCATCTCGAAAAGAAACCCATAGGCTTCTTTTCAAGATAGAATTGGCACATACACTGTACATGAATTTCAAAGAAAAAAAAAAATTAAAAGCATGCTTGCTTTATACAGTAGTTTAGGTGATTTAATGTCGGTGAATACACTCCATGACACAGAATGATGTTACAGTGGCCCTATTTATTGTTTTATAGCATTAATTCCCAAAATTTTACAGCATTCATTTTAAAAAGAGGCTCCTCTTTACTTTGCAAAAGTTCCATATTACTTATTTGCTTGGTGTTAGACAGTATACTTTTAAATTTGCATCCAAATTCAACATAAAAAGTTTCTCAACATAAACCGACGCTGATGGTGCTCTCATTAATACTAGGAAAATCAATAAATTAGCGATTTGTGGCAAGTCTAAGTAGTACCCTGCATGATGCAAGCAAGCCAAGAAGGCAGGTATGGTTGCCAAGTAATTGATGCTAGCAATTCGGTTTACAGTAGGCCTACAGCAATTAGACGATAGCTAATTATGGTAATTCCGAATAGGGTCTAGATCATATGGCAATGAGCATTTTTCTTCTTCATGCATCGGAGGATTGTATTATTGCCGCTCCAAAGTTAAATTTATGAAATAAAAAATTCAACCATTGCACTCTATGTATTAAATTTGATGATTATCATTTTTGGTGTACAGTATCACTTGTCATTTAATTTTAATTCCCAAGGCAGTTGCTCTGAATCTAAAGATGGTCAAAATAACTTTTTGGTGTTAACAAAGCCCCTTGAAAATAACATCATTGGGTTTTTCAAGCGTGTGATTCGATTCTGTAGAAGTTTTTTGTTTACAACAAATATTTTGTTGTTTTTTAAGAATAAAAGGAAACCTTTGCTAGTTTTTTAGTTAACATGTTTGTTTTATTCAGGTATTAATATATAAAGTTAGGCAAGTTAAAAATAATATATTTGTAGCACCTAATTAAAATATATGGTCCAAATTATCATGTATTCTATTGTACTGGAGCTAGGCTTCACTCGTACAGGTTGAGGGCGCCCTCGTGAATTTTACCACGGCTAAAATTTTTGGCTACAGTGGTGTCTGAGCCCTATAATTAGGCCGAGATTTAGGAAATTTCAATGCAATATATTTTACGTAGAATCTATCAGTTGATAATAATTAATTATGAAATCTAAAATAATTATATACCAAATTATAATCGTTAGTATTGTTTTAGATGAATAATCAGAGTTAAAAAGCTTCTTTTTAAACACAAAATTATACTGTAAGGGACATGTTTCTTGTATAATAAAATTAACACCAGCAAAAAACGTAATTAATATTGTAATATCTCCGCTAATACTGGTCCGATTTACATATTTTTGTTTTAAAATGCTTCAATGCTTCATTTAGTTATGTCTTTCTTTTTAAAAATAAAGTGAGACATTTCTAATTTTTATGTTTCTAGCTAGCCTAGGCCTAGCTAGATGCCCGGACTACTGTAGGGCCTAACTAGGGCCCTAAATAAATGGGTTGCAGCTGTGTGTTCAGTATTTTAATTTGTGTAGCGGGATAAAAAAAAAGAGTTGCGGAACGGGGCCTAGTAACCTAGAGGTAGGCATAGGGCCTAGGCCTCCTTCCTGGACCCCTATACAGTAGGCCTTACCTA